CCCAGAGCTGCAGTGCAACAAGGGAAGGGCCCGCCTTGGTCCCGGCCTTTTATTTACTCCCAAAGGTGAGTGGTTAGATAGTCTGATTGGCAGGTGGGCATACAGGTGAGGTCAGGTAGGGGTGTGAGATCATACAGGGGGCATGGTGGAGCGTGTGGTCTTCTAGCTAACAAATCTAATTGATTTGATCCTATCTGCCTGCCTGTATCAAGGAGACAAAGCAGTGTGGTATCTAGAAAGCTCTGTCAACTGAAGTATGTGCTGGTGAAAACCATCAGTCCTCAGTGGCAAAGCCCCTGGAAACCTACAGGGGCAAGGAAGGCTGCCTGGTTTCCCTTGGTTCTGCTTTTACTCCATACAGGAAAGTCACTCTCAAGGGGATTTCTGCTTCCTGTTTAACTGTGCCATACTAAGGTATGAGGTAAACATTTTTGTGATGCTTTTCTACGTGGCTGCTCTCGTTTACTGTGTTCCACATGATGACTCCACCTTCTTCATTGTGCTCTAGAGCTCCCCGAGATCCTTTCGACCATAAGTAATTGTGAATAGATTGTTGGGGGTAGGGAAGGGAACAGAGGCTGGAATCTCCTGTTCTGCCATCTCACTGGCATTACTGTCTGCTTTTGGTTAGTTTTATAATCTTTGTAGGGATTCATCACATGTGCCAAATGCGTTTTTCCCAGACACATTATACTGTAAAATTATAAAATTATATGAAATTTAAACTCAAAATTTCAAAACGCAAATCTTAGCCTACTTACGGTTGACATCACCTAAAATGTTTGTAATAGAGAGTCAGTCATTGTTGATGCCCCTACCCAGATCTCTCTCCTACCTCTTCATTCCCCATTTCTCCTGCTTCCTGTATAGCACTCTGGTACTCAGGGTCTCTCAGCATATACAATGCTGATCACCGTAGTTCTGAGAAACTGGGTGTTCAAATCTACTGAAGTTTATGGAGGATGTTGAATAGCTTATTGTTTTCTATAATTAACACTAGCGATTACTCAATGAAACAATAAAATATTCACAGAATGTGCCTTGGCCATGATGGGCCTTTAACAAGTCCTGCAGGAAGACATTCTGTCAGTCTTGAATAGTTTTCAAAGTTACTTTCTGCTGCTTTATTTTCTCAATGACTTAATTTCCAATGCAAGGCAAACAGGAACTAATTTATGGAAGTGAATATAAATCCTCTTATGATATGCAGAAGCAATGATAGGGAACATGACACATTCAATTTTATTTCCGCATCAAAGAGAAGTGATCTTTTCCATTGGAAAATTTCAAGAACAGATACACATCCTTGTACAGCCAATATGTATTCAGGACCCTTCACAAAGACCATACAAGCCACTTTTCAGATTCCTCCATTTCTTCCTTCCGTCTCAGTTCCTCTTTTAAATAACACTTATTCTATCCAACATCATTGAGTTGGGATAAGAAAAGCATTTGTGTAACTTCAAGTACTGCTTTGCAATAAGGCCTGGGATCTGAGTGCCAATTTTCCTTCATGCTTTAGTTTCCCAAAATACTGCTTTCTTTTTACTTATTAATGGGAGAGAAAGGGTTTGGTAGAACACTCACTAATGCTATTAGGAAACAGACTTTTAAGTTAAAAATAATGAGGTCATGAGATCTGGATGTCTTAGCGGGCTGGATAAAACCTTACAGGTATTACTGTAGAGAACAATTCCACATTGTATCAAGGGCTGAGTCATCTCTTTCTCCCCTTGCACTCACTTCTTAGATCTTATTATGATGGAAATGGGCTGCGGCTGCGAATGAGCTCCAATTGCATGGAGACTTGAAAAGCTATTTCATAACTGCTTTTAATCTGACTACTTAAAAGTATAATCTCCAGATAAGATTCTCAATCTATCTCCCATACAGAAATAGCAATTATTAATAAGAAAAGAATAGTTATTCCCATATTACTCGTGTCACATAGAATCATGAAATCATGCATTTTTTTCTCCTGGATATTTAAGGAGGGTTCATGTTGCTATAATTAAAAAATACACCACTACCTCTCTTACTCATGCTGAATAAAATCAGTGCAGAAGTTATATATTGATGGTGTACCATCAAATGTGCAAATAATTTGCTTAGGGAACATTAAAACAGCTCTAATATGGTTGCAATTCATTTCCTTTTCAATATATATGAAAAGAAACTTTAATAGCAGCTACCTTTAATATATTCACCATGAATAATGAAAGTCCACAGTAATGCAATTTAAAAATCAAATGCTGTCTGAACATTTCAGAGGAAGAATTTAAAAGGGCAAAAGCTTATATATCGTAGACCAAAGGTAGTTTTTTTTTTCCCTGAAAATACTGAACAGATCATCAGTTCCTTCTCTTAATAGTAACCTATGCTTCCTTTCCTCTAATAAGTACAATAGAAATTACTGCTATACCTATAAAAACCAGTAAGGGTTTTATGTTATTTGGGGTGTGTGTGTGTGTGTGTGTTAATCACACATCTGAGGTCACTAACAATTTTGTTTCACTCAATTTTGAAGATAGCGTTGACTCTTGGCTGCCTCCGGTCACTATATTACTATTTAAAACAAGATAATGAAATGTTAAAGTGTGTGTGATATGTAAAGCTAAGTAAGTGATTTTCTGAAGTCTCCAAGGCAGTGGACCTCGCTGGACTTCATCATCTGAAAATGGCCTTCCAGACTCGTGGGATCCAAAACATCCCTTGTACTGAGTAACAAATAGTCTTTTGTCTCAAAATGGAGTAAACTGTCAATTTCCCATATCACAATAAAGAGGACAAATTAGCAAAGAACCCATTATTGTATAACAAAAAAGATGTATGCACTCTTGAAAATACAGCTTCCATGTATGCAACTCCAGTGGCTTTTTTTTGGAGAGTCTTGTTGCATTGTTGAATATTGTTGCTAATGAGCTTTTAAATGAATAGTGCTAAATTAAGACATCATCCTAACTTTCATTAAAATATCATCAAGGCCCAGAGTCCTGCCCTGATAATTAAAGCTTAATATGGAATATTCATGATAGTTAGGATTCCTTCATTATCTTTGCCTATGAATCTGTGAGTGATTAAAGATTTCCATGGCTTGGCTTCTGCTTAATTACTGTGATCTTTCCATTAACACTATGTTATTTTTTAGCCCAAAAGTGTGAGCCATATTACTGTTCATGAGTCACTTCTGGATGTGAGATCCAGCCCAAGATGAATTATCCTGTTTGATTTGATCAAAGGTTTAATTTTAATGATTACTTGCCACACAAAATAAGAGAAGCAATAAAGTTCTCGTTATTGATAAAAGCTGCATGTATTTATAATGTTTTTTATGGCCACTTGAATTTTCCTGTAAATTTTGGATGAGATAACTAGCATGAGATAGATCAAAACTACAAGGATTCACTAAAGTAGTAATTAGAACACAATGATATTTCTAAATTTTAGTGTCTTAGTGATCAAATAGTGATCATAGTGTCATAGTGATCAAATAACAGTAAAACCATTTAAAAACGTTAGTGTGTCTAGTACTATGATCAGGTAGTAGTATTAGGAAAGCAGCTTCTAGGGTAAGCTCAAAACTGAGCTTCTTTATAACATTTTGGGGAATGAGTAGACAAAATGACTATGTAGATTGATTAAAAAAATGTACGAAGAAAAAAAATACTTGGGACTGTTTAGAGGATTGAAGATAGAAATTAAACATGACTATTAACTGGAATATCTACTCAGTAACAGTGTTGGGATTTCCGAATAAGCAGGAAAGGGCATGTGTAATCACTATGTGTGTCAGTGCTTTCTATGCTTGTCCTTTTTATCTCACTTAGTTTTAGCAGTGTCAGAAGAACCAAAATCCATAGCAGTCCTGGTAAACATAAAAAATATTGTTGACTGAATAAACTCTATGATGTTGGAAGAAAAAAGGGAGATTTTCCATTTGTTCTAGAAGTTAAAGTTTTTGTGCTTTTAATTTTTTTTGTATAAAAGAGGAAACAACTTGTCCTACAATCAATATTTGCAGGACCCAATCCCAGTATTCATAATAGATAAATATGATGTAAAGATTTGGTACCTGGGGCCAGTGCTGTGGCACAGAGGGTTAACGCCCTGGCCTGAAGTGCCAGCATCCCATGTGCGAGCTGGTTCGAGACCCAGCTGCTCCACTTCCGATCCAGCTCTCTGCTATGGCCTGTGAAAGCAGTGGAAGATGGCCCAAGTCCTTGGGCCCCTGCACCCACATGGGAGACCCAGAAGAAGCTTCTGGCTCCTGGCTTCGGATCAACACAGCTCTAGTTGTTGTGGCCAATTGGAGAGTGAACCATCGGATGGAAGAACTCTCTGCCTCTCCTTTCTCTGTATAACTCTGATTTTCAAATAAATAAATAAATCTTAAAAAAGATTTGGTTCCTTATTGTTCTTACTGTTTCTTATTTATTAATACTTAATGATACCTGAAATTCATGGCAGTAAGGATTAAGTATCTTGTTTGGACTTCCTGGAACTGGTGACCTGGGAATGCATGTTTCTTCCAGACAGGAAAAGTAGAATTAAGGAAAATGAGGACCACATTTTTAGATTCCTCAAGACTAGTGTCATCTGAATTCTCTTCCTAGAGATGGAATTAAAATTCCCTGATGATGCACACCCTGATGAAAGAAGAGAGCCGTGCTGCCTTTGTGGTTCTTTTTAATTGTCTGTGTCAACCCTGGGGCAGGCAATAAGTACAGAGAAATTGGAGAACATTAAATGCCCCATTAATTGCTAATAAAGTCTGTAGACCCCGTTTTTGGATACACAGGATGGGAGGGGGCACCTCGTGGAATCGTACTCACCCTGCCCAGAGCACATCAATACAGGGCTTGGCAGTCTCATCACCGGGATTTCAGTTGTCATATGCAGCTAAGGAAAGGGGTGAAGGGGCCAATAGATACCAACTGTTGTAATCATGGAGTAGAGTAGACAGTCTTTCTGTCCCTGCCATCACCACGTCTAACACAGCCATCCAGACTGAATCGAAATTCTATATATAGGAGTAACCGCTTTCTGGTAGCTCTGACAACCATTACATGCTTACTTAGTCAATCTCAAACAAAAAGATCATTATTGTGTCTTAATCAGTCCAAGGAGCTGTTCTAGTCTTTAGGATTATGGGGGGAAAGCTTACCAGATTAGTATTTAAAAGTCCTGGAGTAAGACACACCTCTTGAAGAATCTCAGTCACCAGCTAAGAAATTCATAATTTCTGTGCCTTTTATTGCCTAAAAATATAAATAAAAATAACACTGAAAAATAAAATGTAATGCAAATAAATGATAAACATAAGCCACTCCATAAAGCTTAATTAATATTTATATATTGTAAATGATACTGTTTCAATGAGTGTCTAGGTTATATCGGGCACTAACGGCTGGGTTCTAAAAATTTACGCACCCTGGTTTTGTCTGCTTATCTGGGACAGAATACAGGCTCCAAAGAGTTTCTCTATAAAAGTACTCTTCTTTTTTCATTTTAAATTATGTATTTACTTATTTAAAGGCACAGTTAGAGAGAGCAAGATCTTCCATCCACACTCCATATGGCCTCAACGGCCAGGGCCGGACCAGGACAAAGTCAGGAGCCTCTTGGGGTCTCCCACATGGATGGCAGGGGCCCAAGGACTGGACTATCTTCCGCTGCCTTGGCAGGGAGCTGAACCAGACTGTGGGATGCTGGCATCACAGGCCGTGGCTTAGCTTGCCATGCCCCTATACAGTGACTTTCTTCCTGCTGGGCACCACATTACGCTTGCAAGCTTGTCTAGTGGCAAGCCTCTCCGTGTAAAGGGACTTACTGGTGAAACCAGACTGGTGGCATGAGTTGAAGAATCCCCTTGGCTACTGTGCAGCCTTCAGGAGATGCGTGTTCAGGGAGAGCCGTATCCATTCAGTGAAAGAATTCAGACATCTACCCAGCAGCTCTGCTGATCAGACCGTGAGGCGGGTTCTGCTGTTCTTGCGGCTCCTTATCCCCCCTATTAGGTGGCATCCAGTTGCAGGAAACGTAGAATACTCGGACGTTTACATAAATTGGAATGGCCTGAGACGAGAAAGAAAGAGGAAAAATCGGGACAATGAGCAGAGAGGAGATTATAATTATTCAGCCTCGTCATGACTTAGTTGTGAATTACTGTTAAAGGGTGGGATTTTAAAATGCTGCTTATGTCCTAACTCCTTGCTCAGCCATTTTTACCTTATATGAAGTAGGCAGTGTGCCTGTTCTTAACCTCATCTTCTATGTGACTGCAGTCAAGGGAATCGCAGCCCCTCCACCTCCTGTTGCTTAGCAGTGACCAATTCCTAGCTCAGTGCCTGACATGTATGCAGCTCTCAGCAAACAAACCCATTACAACAGCTCAACATGAATAGGTTAGCACCAGCTCAATGCATGCTTCCTCTCCACAAGGAGTAGATAAAGCCATGTGGTATAATTCTAGTTACGTGTAGGTTGATTCCCTCTCATTAACTGTTCAGACTTGTCTGATTGCTCCCTGTTTTACACATTCCATGAAGCATCCAACTCTATTGAGGATAGCCAGGGCATGAAACCAAATCGATTTTCTATTATTTCTTTTGTTTCCTGTTCTTGCTAAAAGCAAATCCCAAAGATAATTTTGTTTTGCAATGATTTTAATTATTTGTTATCTACAATGCACTCTTGAAATACTTAAGTAAACAGTAAGCAAATTAGAAATGTAGAAAAGATGGTGTCTGCTCTCTATCATTTATATTATCTTCATGAATGTGATAACTGTGACAATATACAATAGAAAGAGGAAGAAGAGAAGACATTTTGTCCTGCAGCTGAACTAAGCTCATGAAAGTTTAATACTGCACTTGTCCATAGGAAAGCTATTTTCATATTGTCTACAAAACATCACACAAAATTGTTTTCAACAGAATATATCCTCTCATTGTCAAAGTATTAAATTCTCTCAAGCCTTATAGAATGATTGCTGCATGATCAAGGAGCCATGGCTATCCCGGGATAATTATACTACTGGTTTCTGTCTAAGAATGACTTATTCTTGCCACTTATTTGTGAGTTTATTGGACTGGTAAATCAAGAATTTATTAAAGCAAACTGTTTTCCTTAGCATCAGGGGTATAATAAAAAATACTTAAGACTATAAAATGCTGAATAAAATTCATAAGCCTGAGGTTCTAGTTAAAAGAAAGTAAATTTGACTCAAAATTAGCAAGAGATTTAGCTTCACCCTTAGAATCTGTGGAAATTTCCCGTTTTGAGAAGCAGGTTTTGTCTTGAATCGAGATGAAGCAGCGGAGAGTGTGGGGAAACCATCCACTGCCAGAACGGCGGAGGCAGGGCTTGGTTCACCTGAATGGCCCCAGCTTCTAGGTGCCAAGTCGTTTCTGCTTGCCTGGGGATTCATCAGTTCCCTGTTTCACATTGGATTCCGCTCGAGCTGCTATTTGTATTACACACAACTCATCGCTGATGATTAGAACCCATCAGTAGTGTGTGAATCAATGAAACAATTTGTAATATGGAAGTATCATTTCCTTACTGGAAAAGCCCTCTAATCAATTCACCCTCATTTTTAAGTCAGTGAAAATGCTTAACCTTCACAGTGTTTGTTTGTTTGTTTGCTTTTACGTAGCTTGTTCTCCCTCCCAGTGAATTTCATTAATGGTAGACTCTATTCTGTCACATCAGGGGCCTAAATTTTGATCTTCTCACATGAGGTGTTTTCCAAAGTTCATGGAAAGTTTGTACTATGAAGAAACTGCATGGATTTAAAAAATTATTTTCACCAAAACAAACTCACCTTCTACTTCTCTTTATCCACAACATTTCTGAAGTTCTCTCCTAGTTTCTGCTTGCTGATCTGAAGTTTAACCACTGCTTTCCCACTGCTCAGTGGCAGAGCCAGTACCATTGTGTGGTCACTAAACTCAGCTTCAAGTCAACACCAGGCGTCCCTGGAACTGCCTGCAGAGCACTCCCTTTTCCATAAAACTCCATCTAATAATGGAGATGATCGCTTCTGTGTGCCATGGTTAGAGTCTAAAATCTTGGTAACTGAACTCAAGATTTTGGCTTCATTGGTGTCCCATTTGGTAATGAAGGTAACTAATCTCATACAATATTTAAAATAGCAAAAATAGGATCTATGGATTGAAAGAACAGTAAGGAAAATATAGCATTTGGCGATTAAGTAGTGTGAAAATATGTGTGCTGGAAGATAGAGGGGAGAGCATCGGCTAAGTCAGATAGAGAATCCTATAAACCACTATCAGTATCGGCTGCCATGAGGGGTGTGTGTGTGTGTGTGTGTGTGTGTGTGTCAGAGAGAGAGAGAGAGAGAAAGGGAGATGGAGGGAGGCGGAGAGAGGCTGTGCTGTGGGACAGAAGGAATCATTCTGTCTACTGCATGGAGTCTGTCACTTGGCTGTGTTCCTGTTCCATCCCCTATACAAGTCATCCTAACTGCATGTGGAACAGAGGTCCTCAAATTAAAAAAAAAAAAAAGCAAGATAAAACCTCGGGAAGAACTATTGCCTTGAAACCGCTGTAACTCTTTGGGACTAAGCAGCATTTCTTGAGTACCCTCTTACTGAGTGGGGAAATCTGTGTTTTCTGGTAATGCACCCCTAGCTGTGCGGAGGAAGAGGACCGGGGTGCTGCCAGGGGAAGCAGCACCTGATGGGCATGTGCTTCCTTTCCTGACCAGGGGTCCACAGGCCCTGAGAGCTGTATGGCGCAGTAGCAGTGGGATCCAGAGGGAAACTGGCTTGCGTGGGAGCACACGCTAGTCCTCTCCGTGAGGATCCCAGATGGGTTTCATGGAGAAGGCGAAAGGACTTTCTACAGGTCTGGAATTCCTATACTGAAAGTTGATTTATTGCTAATGCAGTGACCCCATATGTACCAACACCTGTTAAAGTATCAGTAATCATGGATTTCAGAGTTGATCTCTTAGATAAATCTTTAAAATTATAGAAGAATGAAGAATATAAAGCTCTTCCCTGAAGGGTAATTATTCATGACTTTTGAATATGAAGTCAGGTTGACTTCAAAGACTTCCTTATAGAAATGAACAGTTCTGACAGGAATACCAGAAATCATCATTAAAATAGGACAATAATATTTTCTTTGAACTATAGTTTAAACATTGATAACTGAATAATCATTGCAAAGTACATGATAAACACAGTGAGACTTTCTGCTTTTCTTTACCAGGACAAGGTGTTTCTGGTCAAGGGAGGAAGGTGAAACCAAAGAAACCTTGCATTCCGTGGGAGATACTCTCACTCCTTGAGTATGAAATTCTGCATCAGCTGCAGAGGTATGTAGGAAATGTTCCCATTCAACCTAGAGAGTGAAATCTTAAGGTTTTTAGAAGGGATAGGATTCTAGGATTCAGTTTGGGCTCTTAGTGAAAAGGGTCAATCAGGGATGTGAATTGACTCTCATTAATAACTCCTCAAAAGCGTACACAACCCTGCATCCATAGGCATCCGTGTTTTTCCAGAAGTGTGTGTGGGTGGAAAATGTGGATTGAGAAAGCAAGAGTTCTGGCACCTCTATAGCTTGGCATGTTTGTATCAACACGTTTTCTATCATCAGCATCATGACATTAAATTGAGTGCCTAATATGTGCTAGGTTCCATGTTCGTTGATCTCGTTATTCATTTTGTTCTAAAATAATGCCACTGAACAAAGTTGCTTTAATCTTAGTTCTCTGATGTTGAAGATGCAAATAATCTGCCTGTCCAAACTCACAGAGTTGAGTAGCAACACTGGGATCCGAACCCAGGTTGCCTGAATCCAGGGCCTGCTTTACTTCCTGCTTTAAACATCTCAGTTCAGTTGCTCTTCTTATCTACCTGGGAGGGGTGATGGAATGCATCCTTCCTGTTATATAGTTATCTAGATAAGGGATCTTGCTAATGTCTCTCAAGAGTTGTGGCCAACCTGTGTATAGATTTGCTTTAACTGAGAGAAAATAGTTGGAAGCCAAAACAGTTTGCCACCATTTGCAAAATGGTCAAATGTTTGCTGTCATTTAGCCAAGACAGCTAGGTGGCTGTTACTTAGGGGAGAGCATTAATGTCCTTCATCCTGAGAGTGAATGGCAGTATCCCAGGTGTTTATAATAGACTTTCCCATCTTTGGTACTTTTCACCTACTTGTAGGATGATATGCTAACTTCCACCATATCCTCTGCCAATCCTCCTATTCCTGGGTATATTTTTTTATGAAAATCAAGTAGCCATGTAGAGTTGATGAATTCAACTCAAAATTCTACCTCAGGAAAAATTTACTTGGGTCTTTTTGTCATAATCTTAAATCTAGAATCACCTCTATGCAACTTTCTTCCCTCCCTACCTCTCTCTGTTTAAATCTTCCTTGTTTCCTGTTTCAAGTCATTCCTTCAATAAGTACCAGACACTGTGATAGAAATTGGTTTTCTTTTTAAGCTTTATTTATTTATTTGAAAGGCAGAGTTATACACACTGAGGAGAGGCAGAGAGAGAGAGAGGTCTTCCATCTGCTGATTCACTCCCCAGATGGCCGGAACGGGCGCAGTTGCGCTGATCCAAAACCAGGAACCAAAAGCTTCTTCCAGGTCTCCCACATGGGTTCAGGGGCCCAAGGGCTTAGACTGTCCTCTACTGTTTTCCCAGGCCATAGCAGAGAGCTGGATCAGAAGTGGAGCAGCCAGGTCTCAAACCGGCACACATATGGGATGCCAGCACTACAGGCAGCAGCTTTACCCACTACACCACAGCACTGGCTCCAAACCTGGGTTTTTTATAAAAAGAAGTTGGTGTTCTTTGCAACTAACATAGTAGGTGAGACTGGCGATGAAACACATTACTATAGTGAAGTAGACACTGTGTATACAGCAGCTCAGAAGATCTGGAAGCAATGGAATCTTGACAAACTGGAAGAGGAGAAGGAGAGTATGGCAGCTATTATATAGTTTTCACTCACTTCCAGGGTGTGATTAATTTCACCCTTGAAGATGTCAAGCTATCTAAATCATGTCTAATGGGGCTGGCACTATGGCA